TTCGAGTTATCGCGAATTCACTGTATGTAGTTGCTTTTAGGAACCTAAAGCATGCAAATAGTTGCTTAATAAGAACAAAATATTTTCAATAGTATTAGTAAAATTTTATTAAATGACTTTCTTGTCATATAACATGATCCATTTAGTCAAGTTGGTTCCAAATATGATAATTCTTCTATAAGCGTTAGTGTTCTAGCAATAAATTTTTATATAAAAAAATTTGCATATTTAAGGAAAATTAAATATTTTAATTACAAGAATTTCATCAAAAATACTTCATGAAAAAAAAAACATACTTTTCCTAAAAAATTTTCCCTTTTATCAATAATTGATTTAGCAAATATATATACACATGTGAAAAGTGATTATTCAAACTCGAAAATCACACATCCTACAATCGTATTAAAATTTGGGTTTTTTAAAATCTGCCGAATTTCGTAGCAATAACCATCAAAAAGGCAATCGAGATAAAAAATAGACTTACAATGGAATCTGTTCAAATTGAACGCATTGAAAAGTGATACCTCAAATTTGCAACATTTTTTTTTTAAGAAAAAAAGTCATTGTGTTTAGGGTTATCAACCCAATTTATGCTTAAAAAAACAAAACAAAAAAAAAACATTGTAACGTAACTACCACTACAAATATTAAACACCAAATCACTAGTATATAAGACATGTTAACTTGAATCCATCACGAGGTACTTTTTGATAGATGAAGTTTGACATAGTCGATATTTAATTCCCCTTAACATCATTAGGAGCACCGAAAAAAGTATTAACCTTTTCAGGTAAAAAAAAGTTGCCTCAGGTTGAAAATAGTTGCATTTTAGTCAACCGTGGCAATCTTGCTATGAAACTAATTGACTTTAAGTAATTAGCAAATACAAAAATCAAAATTTGTTTTTAAAACAAAACTATTTAAGTATTTTAAATTAAGTAAGTAATGAATAAAATTTTCATAAATTTTAAAAACACTTACAGTAATACTTTTACCATCAGTATTTGAAGTAAGGGAAGACTAGAAGGGAAAAAAATAAATATATGTAGATAGAAACATAAAAAGAAAATTAATAAGTTTTATTTACTGCGCATAAGCTGCAAGTATATAGAACTCATAATATAAGATAAAAAAATATAGAAAAAACACGGAAAATATTAAAGATTAATGAAAAGAGAATAAAAATTATTAAATAAAATGATATATAAAATTTTTTTTTAAAAATATACTTTTTTAAAATTATTTTAATTTTTTTCTCTTTTTATTAATCTAATATTTTCCAAATTTTCTCTCTCTCTCTTTATTTATATATAATAAAATTCGATGACATTTTAACCACGTCAGTAAATATCCCGAGTTAACTCGGGTATTTATATATTACAAATATTTATTATCCAGAGAAAACTCGGGTATAGCAGAATTCTTCAATATGTTTTGTTTTATCACATTCTTATTCGGCCAGAAGCAAAACAAAAAATAATAATCTGCTGTGATTGGAAGTTTGCCAATGTTTGTCTGGGAATTTTGCTACTTGAGGGACGTGTTTTGTGCAATTGTATATACGATGGTGGATGAACTTACATAAAAGAAAGAATAAAAAAAAATGGCGTTCTTGAGCGAAAGTAATGCTGAAGATTATTCAGATGATGAAGATGTGAACCTATACAAATACTCATATTTAACTTTTTTTATTTGCCTGAGATCATTTGGGATAGTAAACAGATGGTTAAATTATATATTTTTTAACACATAAAAATAATTCAGATTTCAACTTCAAACTTGTGTATTATGTTTTGTTTTAGTTCCTTGTATTTATTAATGAAAAAAAAAATGTGTGGATTTTTTTTCTCAAAAAAATTGGTAAGAGAATTGGTTAAAAGCCTCACCAAGAGAGAGAGAGAGAGTTAGAACATTATTTCATATAAATTTTTGAAACAATTATATGTAGTGGGGTGTGGAGAATAATTTTAAATTTAATGTGCACCTATGTATTAAACAATTACTGTGGGTGCAACAGATGTCTAATTATTAAGGTATTAAAACTTATTTAGTAGCACACAAAATATTCAGTGAGAAAATTGAGGTTTGTTTGATGCAACCAGAAGAGAATAAGTATTTACATTTTAAATTTACAAATGTGTGTGTAAATATTTTCATCCAAAATGAGTAGTTTCAAAAAGTTAAATCGGAGAATATCTCTGAGAAAATTTCTGATTGGAGCATGCTAAATTATGTTCACAAAATACAAAAAAAATGAAATAAAAAAGAGCAACATACACGATTATTTTTGTATTTGAATTAATATTTTCTTGGATGCAAAACCTGAAAAATAAATTTCTTTGCACCGTTTGGTATGGTAAATTTCACAGAAACGAAGAAATTAGGTTTTTATTAACGAGAAAAATATTTTAAACCCACATAGATTTTTTACGAAAATTGTCCGCAAAAAATTGACAACTAATATATTTTAGCTCGCGGGCCACAAAAAAAGGCTTCGCGGGCCGCCAGTTGGAAACCCCTGGTATATACGACGGTAGATCAACTTACATAAAAGAAAGAATAAAAAAAATGGCGTTCACGAGCGAAAGTAATGCAGATTATTCAGATGATGAAGATGTGAACCCATACAAATACTCATATTTAACTTTTTTTATTTGCCGGAGATCATTTGGATAGTAAACAGATGGTTAAATTATATATTTTTTACACATAGAAATAATTCAAATTTCAACTTCAAACTTGTGTATTATGTTTTTTTTTAGTTCCTTGTAATTATTAATGAAATAAAAAAATGTGTGGATTTTTTTTCTCAAAAAAATTGGTTAGAGAAGTGGTTAAAAGAGAGAGAGAGAGAGAGTTGGAACGTTATTTCATATAAATTTTCGAAACAATTATGCGTAGTGGGGTGTGGAGAATAATTTTAAATCAAACTTAGATAAAATAGAATTTTAAAGACATTTTCTCAAAAAGCGTACAAAAGTTGGCAGCCCTGAATGATTAGTTTCACAAATGAAACACAAAGAATTTTATTATTTATATATTAACAAATTAATAGAGTAGAAATAAATACAGAGGATTATCTATATCTAGTCAAGATAACAATACAAATGTTTTCAAATTTATATGAGTTTTTGCAAATGAAAAACAAAATTTTGCGACATTCATGAAATAACAAATCAATATAGTAGAAACAAATACAAACAATTTCCTACATAACTATTCAAAATAAATGATTACTATAATACAAAAGTTTATAAATGGAAAACAAAAATAGAGTTAGATACAGGAATTAACAAATCAATATAATAGAAATGAATGCAGACGATTTGCTATTGATTCCAGATAACTCAATTATTACTATAATTCAATTTACGAGGCTCTTTGACTTTATGTTAATCATTTTTGATGACTCATTTTTCCTCTTTTTAATTTTGTCTTTTTGAAAGATATTATACTGACTAAAAAAGTAATCACCTTCTCTAGTGATAATTAAACTCATAACTTTAGTCAGTGTAAGTAATAACGTACGTGTGAGGGTATAAGCAACACACTTATTTTATTTTGCACTATGAATTTTTATTCAAACAATGAATTATAATGTGTTATGTATGAGAAATCTCAATGAAACTATTAAGTGATCATCTTATCAAGAAAATACAGTCATTTAATAATAGACATTTTTTAAGTTTAAAATTGCTCAAAGAATTGCAAATTTTTTTATATGAAACAGGCTTATTATATAGTCGAATAAATATAGAATGACATATTACCCATTTTATCTTATCTTGACCAATCACACTTTCCAAATTTTTTAATCGCTGTTCTAAGCTAGCAACCTATAAAATAAAAGTTTTTTTATTATCTTTTTTAACAACACAGAGCATAAATCTGTACAAAAAAATTCCAAAATGAATGAGATTATTCATAAATTCCAACCATGGGATGGGAGAAAATAAAACATCTACTAAGCTATAAAGGAATTACATATAATTCAAATTCTAAATTTCGGAGTTTAAAAGCAGTCTTTTATCAATTTGTACCTCTACTTGTAAAATAACAATGAAAAATATTAAAAAAACAAAACATTATAACAAAGTAGTTAGAAATGGAATATTTCAGATTTTCGCATTACAGATTTTTGCAATATTCAGAAGCTCAAAATGTAGAGAAAACAAGGGAAAAATTACAGAACAATGTAAGAAGGGGAAAAATAAAATAAAAATAACAAGAAACTGGAGGAAGAAAAATCAATCCGAAAAAAAGGACAAAAATTTTAAGAAAATCCGGAAAATAAGATATAATCTTTTTATCAGCTCACACGATTATATCCACAAAAAAGAGCGCTTTCTAATATTGTATCAATATAGCCAATATCAAATAGATTCTCTTTACCTTTTGGTACGCTAACAGAATGGAAATGGGGTGTTTATTATTACTTTAAAAACTTTGTTTTCAATAATAAGGAAAATTTGAATAACAGTAACAATTCAACAAATTTTTCTAAAATTGTTCAATCAATTACGCAACTTCAAAAAACAATTTTTTTAATTACTTCCATAGACAAAGCTAACAATTATTATGCAATCTTCTGTAAAAAAATTCGATGTTGAACTTTTAAATACAGAATTAAAAAAAAGTAAAAATTTTAAACTTAGTAATTTAAATAATAATATTGTCATTAAAAAAATTTTAGCTTTATATAAGAACTTAAAAGTTTAAATTAGCAATATACAATTTCCTTACTTAATTATCAGTCCTAAATTTCATAACATTCCTGTAAAATTTAGAACTCATGTGGATCTAATACTTATCTAACTAAACCTGGCACCATTTTCTCTAACTACTTAAATAAAATTATTAACAATATTTTTAAAGAAGGTTTCTCTAGGATTATCACTAATAATCAACCGATTTTAGATTTCATTAATATAATAAAATTAGTTCGATTGCGACTTTTGATTTCCAAGATCTTTTCAATAGCATTCCCCTTTCTAAACTAAAAGATGTCCTTTTGAACTATTACTATGATTTTAAAAAAATCCTTTGTTGCGATTTTGATTATTGGGAAATTCTGATTAATTTTTGTCTTTCTAATAATTATCTTTACAATGGAAGGGATATTAGATTTCATTAAACATAATAAAATTAGTTCGATTGATACTTTTGATTTCCAAGATCTTTTCAATAGCATTCCCCTTTCTAAACTAAAAGATTTTCTTTTGAACCATTACTATAATTTTAAAAAAATCCTTTGTTGCGATTTTGATTATTGAGAAATTCTGATTAATTTTTGTCTTTTTAATAATTATCTTTACAATGGAAGGGATATTTTTCTTCAAGTTGATAGAATACCACAAGGATCTAATTATTCATCTCTCTTAGCTAACTTATTTTTGCATTATTATGAAAAAAATTATACTCTTAGTAAATTTGTTTTTAGATATATTGACGACTTAATTATCTTTAATTTTCAAGATTATTCTATTTTATTAAATAATATTTAGCCAGAGGAATTAATCTTGCTTCGTAATCATGATGATAATATTAATTTCAATTTTTTGGATTTCGGTATTATATAAAAAGAAAATATCTGCTTTGTTGATATATACGATAAAAGAAATGATTTCAATTTTAATATAAATAAACTAATTACTTGGAATTCTAATGTTTCTAGGAAAATATATTTAAATACCACTTTTAATGAAATGAATAGAATTAATAGAATATGTAGTAATATTTATTTATTCAAAAAACAAATAGATAAACTCTTTCAAAATTTGATAAAAAACAATGGTTATCCAAGTAAAGTAATAAAATTCTATATAAAGTCATTGAGTTAATCGTATATTATTGTAGATATATTTACTGAAAATTTTCTTTGTTAATTTTAATATAATTTTTCTATGTGCAAATCCATTTCGGGCAAATCCGTGACCTAAATTATTTACTATAAAAATTTCTTTGTTAAATTATATAATTTTTCCATGTGAAAATCCATTTCGGGCAATTCTGTGGCTAAAATTACTTACCAAATAAATTTCTTTGTTAATTTATATAATTTTCCCATGTGCAAATCTACTTCGGGTAAATCCGTGGCTAAAATTATTTACTAAAAAAATTCTTTGTTAATTTATATAATTTTTCCATGTGCAAATCCATTTCGGGCAAATCCGTGGCTAATATGTGCAAAACAGGCAATTCGTGCTTCTTTCTCTTTTCTACTTTTTTTCTTAAACAAATATTTATTTTCTATAATTATTAATTG